GCTCACATCATCAGGAATGAAGCGCTGCACAAGTAATTTGGGGCCAAAGCACCTGGCTGTGAGCACTGGCTTTGTCACTCACCAGGGAGTGATCTTGGGCAAGTCAGTTAAGTTCCATAAACCCCAAGTTGCTCATCTATAAATCAAGCACAGTGTTAGTGAGAGGGTCAAGGGAGATAGATAACACATGAAAGTGCTTTGTAAATGATCAAACTCTACACAAATGATAGGTATTATTATTATTAAATAACTCCATGGCCAGGATTCTGGATTCTGGTATTGGCCCTGCCTTTACCTAGAGTAAGTCCCTAAACTCTCTGCCCATTTAAATAGTTGGGCTAGGGACTTCCCTGGCGGCGCAGTGGTTAAGATTCTGCGCTGCCAATGCAGGGAGCCTGGGTTCAATCCCTGGTCTAGAAACTAGATCCCACATGCATGCTGCAACTAAGAGTTCGCATGTCACAACTAAGGAGCCCTCCTACCGCAACTAAGACCCGGCGCAACCAAAAAAATAATTGGGCTAGAAGAGTTTCTCTATTCAATTCAGTCTAACAGTCAACAGGATCAGAGTAGGAAAGGCAGGAGTTGTGAACCTTGCGTGGGAGGGCCATGCAAAGGCAAACGGACAGCAGCAACCAGCACTGAAAGACCACAGGAAGAGACCTCACGTGGGGTAGCCTAAAGTATGGCATTGAGCCAAGCTTCTGGTAGTGCTGGGTTTAAGCAGGGAGGCCTCAGCTCAACCTCAGTTTCCTGAGCAGCTCCAGGACAAAGCTGGCACCACTGTTTGGAAGGGCCACTCCATGCAGGACTGGTGTCTGCAGGCCAGGCAGACATGATGTCATCTGTGCATCTGGAAACCACAGACCAGCCCTCCCGGGTCTCCAGCGGCTCTCATGTTTTCTGGCCAGGATCCCCAAGTTCCGTTCTCTCTATATCCCCAACCCTTTGCATTCCAGGCTCCCAAGGAACTGAGCTAGGACCTCCTGGGCTTCCGTCCAAGCATCTAGTTCCAAATTCCCCCCACCCCTTTGTCCCTTGGGAGTAAACAATATAACTTTAAACAAAGACTGCTGCCTCAGCCTTGAGGAAAATACTGGGCCAGTTTCAGTGCTCTGCTGACTGTTTATTTCTTCATACCCACACTTAGTGCCAAGATAGAACCTGAGGGGCTGTGTTTATTGAGATTCTCCTGTCTCCGCCCTGGGCTTCCAGGTGCTGCGAAAGGTGCTCACATTCACAAGATCCACACAAGTGCAGCAGGTGTGTTTCAAGTCAGAAACTTGGTTGTTCGATCCCAGCTCTCTCCTTTCGTTAACTGGCAAGTCTGTCAGCCTCTCTGAACCTTAGTTTCTTTGTCTGCAAAATGGGGCCAATAATATTGATGTCACACGGTTGCTGTGAGGATGGTATCATTCCGGGCATGGCCGGTGGCTGCACACAGTGGGTGCTCAACATCAATGACCTTTCTGCTCTCCTCTCCCCCTTCCATTACACCATGGTTCTCTCTCCCCTGGAGGGGAGTTCAAGTTCCCATTTCTGGGCCTCACCACCACAGTATCTGATTCAGCAGTTCTGAGATTTGCATTGCTAACAAGCCCCCAGGGGCTGCGGCTCCGGTGGTCCAGAGGCTACTCTTGGAGAACCCTCATCTCCCTTGTGAGGAGGAGGTGGCACACAGGGGAGCTCCAGGATGGACTTGTCAAAAGTGAAAGACTTCAAGTATTTATTATATTATAATTGACATAACAAAAAATTCACCCGTTTTAAGGTGTACGGTTTGATAAGCTTTAGTAAATTTACAGAATTGTGCAACCATCTCCACAATCCAGTTTTACAATATTCCCACCACTCCAAAAAGTTCTCTTGGGCCATCTGCGGTCAATCCGTGTCCACTCCAAGCTCCAGGCAACCACTGGTCTGCTTTCTGTCTCTAAGTTTTGTTTTTACAAGAAATTTCACATACATGGACTCATATAATTTGTGGTCTTTTGTGGCCAGCTTCTTCTGGTCAGCATAATTTATTTATTTATTTTTTTTTTGCGGTACGCGGGCCTCTCACTGTTGTGGCCCCTCCCGTTGCGGAGCACAGGCTCTGGACGCGCAGGCTCAGCAGCCACAGCTCACGGGCCCAGCCGCTCCACGGCATGTGGGATCTTCCCAGACTGGGACACGAACCCGTGTCCCCTGCATCGGCAGGTGGATTCTCAACCACTGTGCCACCAGAGAAGCCCCAGCATAATGTTTTTGAAGTTCATCCATGTCGTAGCATGTGTCAGGAGTTCATTCCTCTTTACTGCTGAGTACTATTCCATTATGTGGGTGCATCACAATTGGTTTGTCCACTCACCAACAATGGACACCTGAATTGTTTCCAGTTTTTGGTATTATGAATAATGTTGTTATGAACATTCACATACGTGCCCTTGCGTGGACATGTGTTTCCAAATGCTGTCTTTAAAGGTAAACCATAATTGACCAAGTCTCTCCTTCCTAGTCCTTGGAGCGTCTGCAGCCAATACTGTTAGCGACTAAGGGCTAATGGGAAGCCCAGGCTCTCCTGTCAGCAGCTAAGATCAAACTCAGACCCCTCCCCAGGCCCTGTCTCCCTGCAGCCTCACCTTACCCACTGGTCACGGCCCTCCCCCGCTCCATTACCCCAAATGTCATACCTTGATTTAGAGCTGGTGATTAAAGGATTTTGCCTTTCAGTTAAATTAAACTGCTCAAAGCAGCCAGCAGGGAAGAGAATGAAAACAGGATTGACCCAGATCTCTTAAAAGTCCTGGGGTTTCTCATCTCTCCTGAGCATCACTAGGCCTAGATGTCCCCATGGATACAGCACTGTCTGGTCCAAAAGTAGCATCCTCTGTATGTGCACAGCGGTCAGAGCAAACCGAGGACCCAGATACTGGCCTTCTACCCCAACGCCCCTGATTCTTGCTGCTGTTTGGCTCCCCTTGGTTTAGCTGACTTCATGTCTGACACACCTAGACTCTATTCCTTCTCCCCCAGGGACATCCCAGCCGCTGTACGGGAAAGTATTTTTCCTGCTCCACTTCCGAGTCCTTCCATCTGCCACACAATGGGGGCACCAAAGCTGTTATCCTGGACACACACACTGTCCCTTGCAAGGGCCCCAAAAGAATCAATTGAGCAAAGGCTGACTGCCTAAGACCCTTTGCCTGAGCCAGTTCCCCTCTCCCATTCCAATAAACCTCTCCCATGTCCAGGTAGTTTCCGGGCTCAAATCTTAAGCCATGCCATTTGGTAAAGGAGGTTCTGGCCTCAGAGCTCAAAGATCTGAGTTTGCATACCTGTGCGGACTTGTGGCAGCAGTGACCTCAGGCTCTTTACCACGAGGAAAGTGATGTTTTTCATCCCACCGGCCTCCGGGTGCAGATGAGATAACAGGAAGAGATTTGTTGGGTGCACCGCTCTGGAAACCCGTGGGGCACATGTAGGCCCCAGGTCAAAAGGATTCAGAGAGCAGGAAAGACTTCACTCCTGTCACCAGTGAGTGTAGAAACAAGGACCTTTTCAGAGAAATGGCCTCTCAGGAACTGCCATCCTTGACTTGCTCTCCAGATTTGCCAAGTCAAATGGTGGCCCTGACAGGAGTTAAAGAGGTGCATCAAAGTGGTGGATTATAGTTGTGTTTTTATCTAGTAATGAGAGATTGGGTGACTTAGGTTGGGAAATGTCTGTGCATATACTGCAGAAGGGATTATAATGAGTAGCTGAGAACAAAGGCCTGGAGTGTGAATCCTAGCCCTGCTACCTACTAGCTGTATGACCTTAGGCAAATTACTTAACATCTCTGGGCCTCAGTTTCCTCATCTATAAAATGGGAGTAGGGCTTCCCTGGTGGCGCAGTGGTTAAGAATCTGCCTGCCAATGCAGGGAACACGGGTTCAAGCCCCGATCTGGGAAGATCCCACATGCCGCAGAGCAAATAAGCCCATGCACCACAACTACTGAGCCTGTGCTCTAGAGCCCACGAGCCACAACTACTGAAGCCCATGTGCCACAACTACTGAAGGCTGCGTGCCTAGAGCCTGTGCTCTGCAATAAGAGAAGCCACCGCAATGAGAACCCCACACACCGCAACAAAGAGTAACCCCCGCTTGCCGCAACTAGAGAAAGCCCGCGCAGCAACAAAGACCCAATGCGGCCAAAAATAAATAAATAAATAAATTAATTTTTTAAAAAAGGGAGTAATCATCTTACAAGGTTACTGTGAAAATTAAGTGAGGGAATGTGTGTGAAATTCTCAGCTCATTAGCTGATAGTGTGTCAAGAGTGGCAATTTTCTTGTTTATGTTTTATTTTTATTATTTTTATTTATTTATTTATTTTTGTACACGGGCCTCTCACTGTTGTGGCCTCTCCCGTTGCGGAGCACAAGCTCCGGACGCGCAGGCTCGGCGGCCATGGCTCACGGGCCCAGCCGCTCCGCGGCATGGCATGTGGGATCTTCCCGGACTGGGGCACGAACTCGTGTCCCCTGCATCAGCAGGTGGACTCTCAACCATTGCGCCACCAGGGAAGCCCCATATGTTTTATTTTTAATAAAGCATTTCCTGAGTGCCTCTTATCCATTCGGTCATCCATTTGTTTGTTCATTCATTTGTTCTTTCATTTGTTCTTTCATCTAGTCAACAGAAACCTTCAAGTGCCAACAGTGTGCCAGAATCTATGAAATGCACTGGAAAAAGAAAATAATACAGTGCTTGACCATTTTTAAAGCTCTTTTACATGCATTGCCTTGTTTTACCTTCCCACTACCTTCAGGATGACGTTAAGAGAACAGAGGCTCTGAGGATGTGGTGATTTGCCTAAGATACCAATTAAACAGTGGCACAACTCCCTCCAACTCATGTTTTCATTTCTTTTTTCCAATTACAAAAAATTTTTTTTAAATATTTATTTATTTATTTATTTACTTTGGCTGCGCCAGGTCTTCGTTGCGGCATGCATGTGGGATCGAGTTCCCTGACCGGGGATCGAACCCAGGCCCCCTGCATTGGGAGCTTGGAGTCTTACTCACTGGACCACAAGGGAAGCCCCCCAACTCATGTTTTCAGACATTCAATCCAGTTTACTTTATAGGACACCTCACTGCCAGAAGGACAGGGTCATTAATAAATGAGTAAGACGGGGCCTCTCCCTGCCAGTCTCCATAGTCTCTGCTCCCAGAACTCAGGACACCTCCCCTCATTGTAGTCTTTTCCCCGGGGCTCTATTAGAGTTGCTTGTTCTGATTTATCTCCGGACACCAGGAGTCTGCCCAGAACACAGTATGGCATCTGGATGATGCCTGTGTCCATCTGGGTTCTCAGCTGCCAACAATGGGGCAGGGCCCAGGGCCCAGGTGGTGCCGCAGCTGTAAAGATGCTGATAAAGCTTAGGTCTGGCTTCTACCTGAAGGAGTGGGACTCAGAGTGGGGGAGTCCACAGCACAGGAGAATGTTCAAAGGTTCTGGGAAGCCAAAGAGAATCCACGTGTACTGTGTCCTGGCCTGAAACTGAATCTGGGTGGCTGGGGAGACCTATATATGTTTAGCCTAATTAAAGAGTAAGGAATCCTTCCAGCAGAGCCTCAGTGCCTCTACAGGGGCTTAGGGCCAGGATCCAAGACTTCTGATGGCCAAAGGTATTCAGACGGATTCCTGGCCAAGGAGGCCTCATGCTGCACAGGCTCAGAGACACACAGCCTCCTGGCCTTGCCCCACCCACGTGCAGGGGCAGGATTCACTGGCATGTGGCCACTCCCAGGCGAGGTGGGAACCTCAATAATGAGAGGCCCGATGCAGCTCCTTCCTGGACACCAGCTTCGGGGCAGTCATCGAGTCTGACCCTGAGCATTCCACAAACTGCGTCCAGCTGAGCTATGGGCTCCAGGGGTGATCCCGTTCTCCATGCTCTGATACCCTATGATACCCTAAAAAGTACACAACTCCTCTACCCAGCTCAGTTTCTCTAAGGCCAACTCTGTTGAGAAGAGGGAGAGCCAGAGAAACACAAAGAGAATAAGAGAAATGGCAGCTAAGGTAAACATGAAATAAGCGCATGGAAAAGCCTTTGGGAGAGCAGAGGAAGAGCTGATGAATGCTGCCTGGGGGGCCTGAGAATGCTGGGGAGGAGGACCCAACCCAGTGAAAAGGATTGGCAAAGCAGGGGAAGGAAAGGTGTTTCACGCGAGGGAACAGAGTTCAGGAACACAGAGCTGTGAACAGGCAAATCACTGAGGCTCTCTGAGGATGCACAGGAGGCAGGAAGCAGGCAGGAAAGGCCAGCAGGGCAAACCGGAACGTGAGACCTTGCTGTGACCTTCAGACAGAGACCAAACTGCTTGGGAAGTGGAGGCATTTTGCATTTGAAAGGAAAATGAACATTTGGGCTGAGAAATAAAGCTGTGTATGGAGTGCCTCCTCTGTGCCCAGTGGCTTACAGGCGTTTTCTCCACATCACGCAAGGTGCACGTTTTACAGGGGCAGACACGACAGAGCCATGGTTTTTCTACGGTATAAGCCCTGTCCAAGGAGGGCGCAGGGCAGAAGGGAACTTGGCAGAGCCATAGCAGCTCCTTGAGGGTGAGGACCCCCTTACACGGAAGGAAGCAAGTTGGAGCTTATTAAAGAGTTCACTCTTCTGATCTTAAGACCTGAAACCTGGTCCGTACTCTGGGCCACCATAGTGCTGTCAAGGTCACCACACTCAACACCCTGAATGAGCCACCTGTCAAGAAACACCCACACCAAGGCTTCTCAGTGGCAGGGCCCACATGCCTGGTGCCTGGCAGGTGCTCAGTGATAGCTGTTGGATGAAGCTTTCTGTAAAGAATTCTTTTGGTTGACTCCTGGCTTTGGCCAACACCTCAGGAAGTAACTCCCAGTCTCTCTGGTTCACCAAAGTCATTCAGAAGAGGAAGACCCCTCCACTTCCATGGGGCCGCCCAGCGTGGGAGTGCCGCCAGAGCCCCGCAGGCAGCTGAGTCAGGGTTGGGGGAAGACTTCCTGGAGTAGGAGAGGCCTAGGTGACCCCACGGAGGGCGGGCGGTAAGTGGAGAGGGCAGTGGGAGGTGGGCTCAGGAGTGAGGACGGGTCTGGTGAAGGAAGGAATGTCGGCGCCGCCCCACCTCTCAGGGCCGTGTTTTCCTGTGTGAACCTCAGCTTCTCCTGCCTCAGCAGCCTTCTCCAAGGTGTTGGATTTAAGGAGAGGGTGGAGGGAGGGAAGGAACCAGCTCTGCCTGAGCCGGGGTATGGACCAGGTCCTCTTGCTATGTGCCAGCCTCAGGTGTTATCTGTGGTGACTCACAGCCCTTCCAGGACTGTTTACCCATCTACAAAATGCACTCCATTATGGGGTTTCCTGAAGACTCGGTGTTAGGTGATTTTTGTTGCTCTCTTGATTTTGTCTGTTGTTTTTGAGTTCTGTGGAGGATAAGAGATGAACCAACTGGACCCTCTGTGTTGGGCTCACCACAGTCAGACCTGGCATTTTTGAGTACTTGCTGGAACTATTCTAAGTTCCTTATATGTATTGTCATTTCATTCTGAAACCACCCGGCTATTATCCGCATTTTGCAGATAATGAATGTGAGCTTTCCATCCACCCATTCCCTCACCCAGCACTGCTCATCAGGTGCCCAGTGGCCTGGGCTCCGGGTCAGCCCACACTTGTCAGCACACCCGGCCTCCCGAGACAGCCGGATGTCTGGGCAGGACTTGCAGCTCTTAGTTAGACCTGTCGCCACACCCTGTTTCAGCCCCCAATGGCCTCCTTCCCTACCTGCCTGGGTAGCTCGGCAGCTGCCAAGGCTTGTCATGCTTCCCCCCCCCCCAACCCAGTTGTTTGGGTGCCGGCAAATGCCAGGCAGGTGAGGAGCCCCAGCTTCCACCAGCCCAGCTGCCCTCGCCTTCCAGGTGCAGGGTAGGTGTGGGGCAGGGAGTAGGGGAGAGACAGGGTGTCTCCCAGGCTCAGAATTGCTGAGACGGAACCTCAACTGAATCACAGCATTAACTCATCTAGAACTGGGGCTCAGGAAAACAAAACACCTGTGCGTGTACAGGGAGAGACCTGGCATCCTTGTAACATGAGTGGCCAGGAGGTGTCCTCCGCCCAGGTGCAGGCGCAATTTACTTCCCTCTTCAAACTTAAATCAAGTGGTCCCAACTTCTCCCTTTCTTCAGAACCATTTGTTTAGGACCCATCACGAGCCCAGGAAAGAGAGGGAAAGTGGGGCTTCCTGCATAAATTAGGAAATTAAGTCTCACAGGAATTCAGCAATGTTGCAATCACCCAGAGGTGGCTTCTGGGCTCAAGAAGCTGAAGCCCAGATCCAGAACTGATGGTCTTAGGAAGGGGGCTTGGACGTAGTAGGAGAAAGTCAGGAAAAAGTCTTGGACTTGGAACCTGAAGCACAAACGTCTACTCCCACCTCTGCTGTTTGGTGGCCAAGTAAGTGAAAGTGACTCACCCATCGATGAGCACGAGTGTCTGCATCCCTGAAATGGAGGCAACCCCACCTCATGAGAATCTAGCGAGAATAGCCACACAGGAGAGAAACCAGCGTCCACAAAACCAGTCCTCAGGAACCCAGCTCCATGGAAGAAGGGCTCTGTGGGTAAATAGGTTTGTAAAATGCTCTCTCCTCTCCTGAAATGTGTGCCGCAGGTGAAGGATTCGGAGAAGCCCTGCAATAAGGAAAGCAGGTGGAAATTGTTTAACACAGCGTTTCCCAAACTTGGCCCAGGAAAGTGTTCTGTGGGGTGGTGCTGTGAGTGCCCTGAACGCAAACATTAGGTGGCTGTGGTGTTTGGAAAATGGCAAGTAGCCCACTTTCGTGGGGGAGAGGATTCAACCAAGAGAAGGATGACAGCAACGTGGAAACCAGGTAGGCCTTCAACACGCTCCTACACAGTGGGTGGAAGTGGACATGGACATGGCTGCGTTGAAGACAGTTTGACTACACTGATTAAAATGTCAAAGTCTCTACCGCTTGATCTGGTAATTCCACCTCTAGGAAATTATCTTGCATAAGTACTTGCACTTAATTATATGTACAAGAATGTTCACTGAAGCATCACATGTAAATATAAAAAGAAAAAAAAGAAGTAAACAATCTAGACATCCAGCCCTAGGGGAGCATTTGAGTGATGACTGTGTGCATATGGCAGCCTGGGCTGCTACCACGGATAAAGCGTGGCTGCGCACTCTGACATGCAAGACCTCCTAGATATGTACTTCAGCAGAAAAATAACTTTGTTTTCCTCTCTCTCTCTATGTATATACACATAGATATAATATATGTCTGGCTTTTTATATTTATGAATAACACTTCAGTGGACATTCTTTTACATATAGCCCATGTAAGTATTTATATAGGATAAATTCCTAGAAGTGAAATTGCCATATCAAAAAAAAATTGATATATATATATATATAGAGAGAGAGAGAGAGAGAGAGAGAGAGACAGACAGACAGAGAGAGATACAGACATAGAGATATGGATGCATGTATGCATCCATATATCTACACATATTTATTTGTGTAATATATATATAGACACATGTAATATATATGTAAACACACATATACACATATGCAAATGTGTATATATACATATATTTATACAAAGATATATGTGTGTATGTGTATCTAAATAGAAATGACACATCCATATCCATATGTACCACATATCATATATTATACATACATAGAAAAGTGTCCAGAAAGGGACATGACAAAGTTAACAGGGGCTTTCTCTTCAGAGGGATGTGGGATTAGGAAGAAGGGTGGGAAGGACAATGAGACTTATCAGCATTTCCATGCTGTTTTTATTTTTTACAGTGAACATGCATTACTTTTGAAATTTTGAGAAATATGTCTTTTATTATTTATTTATTTTTAAAACATTATTTATTTATTTTTGGCTGCATTGGGTCTTCATTGCTGCACGAGGGCTTCCTCTTGTTGCGGTGAGCGGGGGCTACTCTTCATTGCAGTGCGTGGGCTTCTCAATGCGGTGGCTTCTCTTGTTGTGGAGCAAGGGCTCTAGGTGTGCGAACTTCAGTAGTTGTGGCATGCGGGCTCAGTAGTCATGGCTCGTGGGCTCTAGAGCGCAGGCTCAGTAGTTGTGGCGCACAGGCTTAGCTGCTCTGCGGCATGTGGGATCTTCCCGGACCAGGGCTCGGACCTGTGTCCCCTGTACTGGCAGGCGGATTCTCAACCACTACGCCACCAGGGAAGTCCAGATGTCCTTTAATTGGTAGAAAAAAACACCAAAACAAGGCTCAGGAGGATGGCTTTTCTTTTGTAGTCAACTCAAAGCCTTTGTTTTTTGTAACCTGAAGCCATGGGTGTTTGTTATGAATATAAGCACTGAATGACTGTTGGATCCCCAGATTCACTGCTTTTGGTTTCAAAATGAAAACACTTTTTTTTGCTTGTTTGTATTTGAAAAATACTGAAGATTGCAATAATGTATAACATACCACTTAAAAAATATCTTGAAAGAAAGATGTCAGAGCTACCTTGGTTAACCTGACCAGTCTTCTCTCTGGAAATAACCCTAGTAATAATCTCCAGTGAATAGGGTGGTGCAGATTCTGCAGTGGATTTTGAATGGAAGTATTATGATGCTGTGGGGCACCCTCAGAGTCAGTTTGTCTGTTTTTCATTCATAGTCCCCGGTCTCTGGAGCACACAGCCTAGAGGGGGCATGTGAGCCAGCAATGCCCACCTACCCTGTTCCCACACTCCCATCTATATGTTTATTATTGTGCTTTTCCTCGGCCCCTGTTACATTACTGACCTTCTGGGATCCTTTCCCATGCTTTTGAAGTGTATCCTTTAGAAGTTCACCTAGTTCAGTTCTCTTGGTGGGGAACTCGTTTCTTTTGTTTATCTGTGATTCTCTTTGTTTTACTCTCATTCTTGCAAGTTGGTTTTGCCAGTTACACCATTCTAACTTGACTTTCAACGCGTTGTGCACGGCCTCCCAGAGTCTTAAGTCTCCCATTGTTGCTGGTGAGGAGCTGCTGTGTTGTCCCTGTGTTAAGGGCTCTAGTCTTTGATTCAGTGTGTGCTTAAGATCCTTTGTCTTTGGTATTCTGCCCACATTACATGCGCAGCAGCAGATTTCTTCTTATTTACTCTGCTTAGGATTCATGGGGTTTTCTTGATTTTGTAGATTCCAATTTTTCATCAGGCACTCTTTCTTTAAAAATTAACTTTCCTCCATTTTCTCTATTCTTTCCTCTGGGACTCAAATTTGATGTAGAGAGACCTTTCCATTATGTTTTATTTCTTCTCTCTTTCCACCTCTTTCCTACTCTCCTGATCAGTGTATGATAAATACTGTTTTACAGTTACATTCTAAATAATTTCCTAGCACATTTCTCCAGTGCATTATCTTTTCAATTGGGTCTAATCTGTAACTTAACCTATCAACTGAGTTTTAAATTTCAATAATTATATTACTCATTTTTACAAGAATAAATGAATTCTCTGGAAAAAGAAGGGCATTCCCCAGAGGTGTCAGCAAAGGTGAGAACATGAGTGCAAGAATGGGAGAGGAGTCCTGGGTTGGAGGGATGGGGGTGCTAACCAAGCCCATTCTTTATTGATAAGACCTCTGAAGTCCAGAGAGTCACACAGGGGTCACACAGCTAGCTAAGGGCAGAGCCAGGATTTGAACATAGGCCTTCTTTCTTTCTTTCTTTCTTTGGCTGCATCAGGTCTTGGTTGCGGCATGCGGGATCTTCGTTGTGGCATTGGGGATCTTTCGTTGCAGCACGCAGGTTTCTCTCTAGTTGTGAGCTTCTCTCTAGCTACCACGCGCGGGCTCTAGAGCACACGGGGTCAGTAGTTGCGGCACCCAGGCTTAGTTGCATGTGGGATCTTAGTTCCCCCACCAGGGATCGAACTTGCGTCCCCTGCATTGGAAGGCGGATTCTTAACCACTGGACCACCAGAGAAGTCCCCGCCTTCTTATTTCTTATTTCGTTGTGGAGCACAGGCTCCGGACGCGCAGGCTCAGCGGCCATGGCTCACGGGCCTACCCGCTTCGCGGAATGTGGGATCCTCCCGGACCGGGGCACGAACCCGTGTCCCCTGCATCGGCAGGTGGACTCTACCACTGCGCCACCAGGGAAGCCCCTCCTCCTCTTTTTGTTTCCCTTTTTGGTGCCCCTGCTTTGTGGTACATGAAGCACACGCTCAAACTAGGCTACTGGGAACTGCAGCCTGAAAAAGAAGCCACAGCTTTGCCTGCACTGGGGTAGGCAGGATGTCCTTGAATGCAGCTGTAAGGCAGGTCGCGGTGCGGGGCTCCCGCGGACTCCCCCAACTCCTCCCAGTTGCTGATTCCGGGAAGAGAGGCTGGAAGGCAGATGCTTGAGGAGGCTAACCTTGGGGCACCGTCGCCACCTGGTGGCGTACTCCGGTTCTTGCAGTGGTCGCGCCTGCAAGCGCCTCGAGGCGAAAGGAGAGAACAAAGAAAATCTGGGCGGAGGGGCCAGGGTGGGCTATTTGACTTTGCCCGAAGACCTGACCCGCTTTGTCCATCACTGGAAGGTGATGCGCCCCCCGGAAGGGCTGAGCTCCGTCCTGAGAGTGTGCAAACAGGGAGCCCTAGACTGGGCTTTACACTACTTCCAGGCATCATCACTTGGAAATCAGACAGGCCAAAGTCTTAAGATATTAGAATCATCGAGGAGGTAATCCCCACTCCCACCCCTGCCGCCAGGTCACAGTCACAAGGGGCTGAGAACTGCCCGAGATCACTCAGCTCCGGCTGCTCCTCCGCCCCGCCCCAGTGTGGGCAGCCTTTTTTCATCAAGGTCTCAGAGACATTCCGGCCACAGGCAGCAGAGTTTACCTTATCTCTGTGATCCTCCCTAGGGCACTTGGCCTGCAGCTCCACGCCCTCTCCTTCCCCCTCTCCCAGAGATCTGACCTCCCTCCCGCCTCCAGCTCCCCTTCCCTCGGGTCCCCTCCCCCACTGGGACCTCTCTCCACCTGTCCCTTCAACTGCCATTTGCATGCCTGGGACAAGTTGCTGTCACCAGCCTGGATATTTCTCCAGAGCAATTCCCTCACGTTCATCCCCTGACCACCCAGGAATCTGGACAGTCCACTGTCCAAACCCGCCCTGTCCACATAGGAGGAGCTCAGCACTGCTGTCCCCTCCTCCTAAAATGTTTTCTTTTGAAATATCATACTTACAGAAAAGCTGCAAGAATAGTATAAAGAACTCCCCTACCCACTTTACCAAGTCATTTATTTTTTAACATTTGCCTCATTTGCTTTCTCCTCTCTGTTGTCTCTGTTACACACACACACACACACACACACACACACACACACACACACAGTTTTTTTTTATGAAACCATTTGGAAGTAGGTTACATCATAGTCCTTAACCTTAACCTCAGTGTGTTATTTCCTGAAAATAAGGATATCCTTCTATAATTATCAAATTCAGGAAATTTAACATCAAGACAATATTTTAACCTAATCAATAGTCTATATTTCCACTTGGTCAGTTGTCCCCAAATGTCCTATCTGGCACTTTTTGTTTGGTCCCAGATCCCATCCAGGATCACATATTTCATTTACTTGTCATGTCTCTTGAGTCTCCTTAATCTGAACAGTTCCTTAGCCTCTTGGTTGTGTATGACACTGACATGTGTGAAGAATCTAGGCTGGTAATTTTATATAGTTCCTCAGTACAGATACTTCCTTTCATCCTGCATTTTTTTGCTCTAAGTGTCAAGGGTCTACCCAGTTCCTCAGGTTAGGAACCTAGGTCCCTCCCTCCCTCCCCCCCCCCCCAGCCCCCATCAGGTCCTCATGCCCACTGCCCTTCTCTTCAATGCCCTCATCATTCCTCACCAACCAGCTATCCTCCTCCCTGCCATCAGCGACTGTACTGCTTCACACAAGCTGGCTGTTTAAAGTGTGGTCCAAGGACCTGCAGCAACAGGAGCTTGTTAGAAATGCAGAATCTCAGGTCCCAGCCCTACAGAATCAGAACCTGCATTTTTAAAAAAATTTATTTTATTTATTTATTTTTGGCTGCGTTGGGTCTTCGTTGCTGTGTGCAGGCTTTCTCTAATTGCGGAGAGCGGGGTCTACCCTTCGTTGCAGTGCGAGGGCTTCTCATCGTGGTGGCTTCTCTTGTTGCGGAGCACGAGCTCTAGGCACGCAAGCTTCAGTAGTTGCGGCACGTTGGCTCTAGAGCACAGGCTCAGTAGTTGTGGCGCACGGGCTTAGTTGCTCCGCGGCATGTGGGATCTTCCCGGACCAGGGCTTGAACCCGTGTCCCCTGCATTGGCAGGCGGATTCTTAACCACTGTGCCACCAGGGAAGTCCAGAACCTACATTTTAACATGTTCCCCAAGTGTTTCTTCTGCTAAGTCTGAGAAGTTCTGCTCTCAGAGATCCCTGAAGCAGACCCCTCAGCTCCATATTGAAGGAGTGTCCCTCTCTACCACCCCTGACCCCCAAACTTCATTCTTACCTCACCTACATTCATGAGGGTATGCTGTCACCTTTGTACCATTTAGTCCTTCTTCTAGGAATGCCCTCTCTCTCCTGAGACTTCTACTCGAGATTAGGCTTAATGGTCACTTCTGTGGTGTGCTTCCTGCCACTCCTCCTGGGCGCCATTTCCTTTGAACCTGCCTCTTATCCTAGCTTCAGTTACATGCAAGTGTTACTCCCAAGGGCTCCTGATCTTTAAGGAGTTCCTCCTCCCATTAGTTGGTGAGCTCCTTGAGGGAAAACCTGCATCTCACACACCTCCTTATCTACAGTGCCTAGAACAATTCGAATGTCTGTTGAATGGGCACGTAAAAAACCAGCTCTTCTTCCACAGAGGTACTTCTTCCCAGTAGATCCTGAAATGGGTACTGGGGTATCCAAAGGGCCATCCAAGTACCTGAGCCACAGAATGTTGGGACAGGGGTGGCCACAGGGAAACATCTACTTCAAATGCCCTTTGTGATCCATGAGAAAAGGCCCCAGAGAAGGAGAAGTGGCTTACTTGCAGTTTCGTCCCCTGGAGTGGTTGGCCCAGAGAGTCACTATTGACCCATGTTTTGACCTTCCTGGAGCAAACTGCCCTCATGTGGTTTAGTGTGAGAAGCAGAGTAGTAAAAACCAGAGTTGCAGATGAATGCTCACAAAATGCAGAGACTTATGTAGAAGTTTTAAACATGAAAAACTATTCTGTATCTTCTTGCTTAGGAAACAGTCATGCCAGTGAAGGATAATGGTTACCTTGAGGAGGATGCAGGAAGACTGGAGGGTTTATAACCAAGCTGGGGTAGGCAGGGGGCTTCAGCCATGCTGTTTACTCTTAAGCTGTGTGCGGAATATGAGTGTTGAATTTTTTTATACAACCTTATGTCCTTTAAAAATTCTGATCTGAACCAAGGGATCATGCCTTGCACACAGTTGTCCTCAAATTTTTTAATGAGTTTTCTTGCTGAAGGTTTTCAGTTAACCAGCCCTCAACCTTGTGGGTGCCCATTAATTTTTTTTTTTTTTTTTAATAGTAAATGTAAACTTTCTGCATGGCAGGCTTCCAGCTCTAACAAGCAAGGTTCAGAGGGCAGGGTGCATTCTGGAAAACAGAATACCACCCTGTTATTGGAGCTTAAGATGAACACAAATAAGGCTGGGGTTATATCTTAGCACATGGGCTAGAGTTCAGGTTTCATTTTATAGGCAAAGAAACACTAAATTCTCAAGGAAAAATGGTTTGAATGAATTATTCATTTTAGCAAGGTGACTGTGGCAACAACAGGCCAGAGAGGAGACCAGCTAGCTTTGGCAACAATCCAGAAGCATTACCTGCTCAAAATAAATTTATTTTATTTATTTTTGGCCATACCGTGCAGCTTGCAGGATCTTAGTTCTCCAACCAGGGATCGTACCTCTGCCCCCTGCAGTGGAAATGCAGAGTCCTAGTCACTGGACCACCAGGGAATTCCCTCAAAGTAAATTTAAAAAGCAAAATGGGGTGAGGTGAAGAAGAGAAACAAGACTTGCTCTGAGTAGATGTTGAAGCTGTGTGATGTGCAGAAAAGGGGCTTCTTATTCTACTTTTATGTTTGAAATTCCTCATGATTAAAAAAGGTAGTGGGGCTTCCCTGGTGGCGCAGTGGTTGAGAGTCCGCCTGCCGATGCAGGGGACACGGGTTCGTGCCCCGGTCCGGGAAGATCCCACATGCCACGGAGCAGCTGGGCCCGTGAGCCGTGGCCGCTGAGCCTGCGCGTCCGGAGCCTGTGCTCCGCAACGGGAGAGGCCACGACAGTGAGAGGCCCGCGTACGGCAAAAAAAAAAAAAAAAAAAAACGGTACTGATCTTGTAGAAGTCATAAATATACACTGACGTGACAAATGAAAAAACCCTAATTACAAGAAAGGATAGTTGGTTTTGGTATAAAGTTTTTCATAAATGAATTAGAAAAGTACTGTATCACCTCAAATATACAATACAGAAATAGCCCATGATACAGAAATAGATGTTGAAGAGTTTAAATAACAATTCATTCTGAAAGATTGAGAAAAAGCAGCATATCTAAATTAACATTTATATGCTTTTAAATGTGTACAAATAATATATTTATAGCTATAGTAGATATTTAGCTATTTCCGCCATGAACTTAGTTTGTGGTCTAACTAATCAAAACTTTCGAATCTTCTCATTAGGAATATGGAGTCTTGTCTTTGGGAAGGTACTGTAATATGGGATGGGTTAAACAGAGTACAGCCATGTGATTTTATATGCAGTTGAAAATCACCTCTATATATTGTAAATAACTCTTTATATACGTACATGTATACATACCTAAATATATATACTGTTTAAAAAAATGGTGTGACAAAAGTTGAATGGAGAGTAGGGTGGCTGTGCTTAGACATGCAGTGTCTCTTTGGAAGGGTTAATAAACCATCTGGGAGAGGAAGTGGGGAGATGAAGGAGATAGTGCTCTCCCCTCCTAATCTTTATGAGCATGTTAACAGTAACACTCACTGGAGGTTGGTATCACAGGGGACTTCCTTTCTTCACACATTGTCTCATAATTTTTTTTTAAAGGCTGGAATAATGCCTCTACTATAGAGGCAAATCAGAAGGGGACTATGTCTAAATGAAGCTTGAGGAATTCCCTGGTGTCCAGTGGTTAGGAATTCGCACTTTCACTGCTGAGGGCCTGTGTTCCATCCCTGGTCGGGAAACTAAGATCGCACAAGCCACGTGGTACAGCCCACCACCAAAAGAGAACACATATTACTTGCTATCTCGGCACCACTCTATTTTGTAATACACTTTTGCTCCAGCTGGTATCCATTCTGGCAATAGCCCCCAGTATTACAGGTCCAAGTTTCTCTGGTTGCATGTGGGCCCGTGACTCACCATCTGCCTGATTTCCTTCTGCAGTATCCTCTCTGGCTCCTTCAGAACACAACTGAAACTCCTATCTCCTTTACAGTGGTCCCTCCTTTGGTATGTTGCTCAATCCTATGAATTAATACATCTTGTAAGAGAATGTCAGAGGTTCAGGCAGGCTTTTCATTCCCCTATTGCATCTTGTAAATCAACCTGAATCACAAGTTTGTTTTTGGACTCAGAGTAATAACGGAAGGTCATCTGGCCATCCCTGACGCCAGGCCACATGACAGCTCCTTGGCCTCTTAAGGAAATGTCGCTGCCCCAGCCTCTGGTTTTAGTCAAGTGTGGTCCCAGAACTTTTAAAGGGACTCACAATTCCCTTTAAATACATTATGAAGTAGGGAGAGAGCATGGGTTCAAGATTGTTTTTATTTTCAGAGCCTGCAACAGTTGGTTACCAGTGTTACTAAGCTGGTACATTCTGAAGGCCATCCCACCTCCCTTTTCAGGCATTCAACCAACAGAATCCCTACAAACAAGATTACAGACTAATTAAGATGTGTCTCAATGTGTGTGGGGGAAGAGGCCTTCTCCCCCTGCTCCCCTCCTCCCCACATACTTTTTCTAACAAGATTGTTTTATAGTCAAATGCAACTCAAACCCATAACACAGCAACCAGTCATCTCCAGTATCACTGATTCTCTCCCTGCCTGCAGAACAGGAAGCCAGGGCAAGAGGGGAGACTGAATCTGCTATATAAGAAAAACTTCACTATACCCCAATGGAGCAAAGATGGTGAGGAAGCCAGCGCCTAAGGGTGGGGATGAGCAGGAACCAAACAGGCCTGTCTAGAATCAATCAACTCAGCCCCAGCTCCTTGGGAGGTGTTCCTTTGAGACCCCTACTTCTGTGGGATGAGATGAGGGGCAACTGGTGATGATCCATCTCTCCCTGTCCCTCAAATTAAAACATGATAAACTCAAAGTTTTACCTGCAAAATCCACCACGCCGCCTCCTGAGAAACACATTCTATAGTCATCTCTGCCAGCACCCACTCCCTTCTAATGCCCAGGGCTTCCAGCCCCTCTCCCCAACCTTGGGTGGCCCAGCCAACACTGATTTGATACTCCTTGACTCATAGAATGACTATTTTTAAAAAATTAAAATAGAAGCAATCAAAGAGTATCAGAGTAATAGAAGAAAGACACTCAATATATACTCCCTTCCCTTATCTGGCAGAGCCCCCCATCCCTGCCCGCCTACACTGGGATACCTGCTCTACCATGTTCCAACACTGACCTGGGGGTGGCCCAATGGAAGCTGCCTCAAGTGCTTTCCTGACCGTGACTCCTAGACAAGCAACATCACAGCGAGCAGGGTCACCCCAGTAGATCTCAGGGGCCTTCGAGGTAGGTCTGGGAGGTTTAGCTTATGTCCTGTAGCCAAGCCTGAGTCTGGGGCCTGCTCCCACCAGTATCTCAGTCCTTGGCTGTATATTAATAGCAGCAGCCCCAGTACTGCAGCACCTCCTGGGGGTGACAGAGTGCCTAGTTCTCTGTCCCACAACTCATGTCCTTCTTCCCCCTCCCTTTTTCTTTTTTTTTAAAAATTAAAGGCAGAGGTAGTCCCTGGGATGATAAAACCCCACCTAGGATGGCAGTATTGTAACTTAAAGCAGTTAAATAAAAGTCTCCAGGAGTTGATTACAAAAAAAGAAAGAAAAGAAAGTGACTGATGAAGTTGAATAAATTAATGATATGGGTTATCCCACAAAGACCTTTCCTTTGCAGGCCGTCTTTGGTATTTGGCCAGCAGCATTTGTGAGTCTTCTCTCCACTCGGACTCTCCTACCCCTCCCCCCTCAGGAGAGAAGGCCATTGCCCAACGAGGCCCAGGCGGCTCATCCAGCTGCGGGGGATGAGGAGTCAGAACATCTTGACTTGGTGCTTGGAACTGTGCTGTGGCACGTGACAGCCTTGGCAGACCGTCCTGTTGCAGAAGGAGGACAACTTACAGGGACAGAAGAGCCAGCAGGATGCTCTGGGCTCCAACCCTGGGAGAGTGGGAGGTAGGTTTAAGACATGGAAGCCTCAGGCCTTCTCTCCAAATGTCACATGGCTGGCCCCTTTGCTCCAGTTTTTCTGTAGCAAAGAGGGGAGGGGGGTAGGGAGGGAGGCTCAGGCTGTTGCTGTCTGGCACTGAGACCCTCAGAGCTTCTTCAGACGGCTATACATCTCTCTCTTGCTCTTTTCCCCGGCCCAGGTCCGGCTCTTGGTGCGGAACTTCTTCAGGTCTTCTTTAAAGTCCTCATGGTGCATGGGCCGGTAACTGGGGGGCTCGCAGTGAGACTGGCGGGAAGACAGGACGAAGTCAGGGCACACCTGCTTCATAAGCACACTCCTGCGTCCTCCCTGCTGGGGGCTGCAAGGCTCTACTCAGCAGGTTCTAGGGCCCTTCTGTGTGCGGGGCAAATCCCCAGACCCCTGGCAAGAAACACCCATGACCACCAGACATCTGGGTGCAGGGGCGGCCCCTGCCCTCCAGAGAGTCCATCTTACCTGGCATTTCAGGAAGAACTCCTTATATCCGCCCTTCAGGACATATAGCTCCGGGTAATGGAGTTTGGGGTACTCATTACCAAGCCGATCTCTCTCTCTCACATATCGGCACCTATAAAGGGGAAGGAAAGCCAAAGCATGGTTAGCTCTACACAGTGAAAGCAGTGTTCCTTACACACATCTCCCCAACTTTACCTTCATTCTTGGAAACAATCAGTGTTGACTTGTGATTTCCTGGCCACCTGTTATCTTCAGGAATAGTGTTCAGAGCCAGTGCCACTGCCTCGTATTGGCAGGTAGATGGTCTCTTCCCAAATTTTCAAGTTAAACAGCCCTAGCAACTGATCTCTGCCCAGCATCTTCCCTGCCACCACCAGCACCTAATCTTCGGTGACAGCTTCCCAGCCAGCTTCCCTCTGCATTCTCCACCCTCCACGACCAGTGTCTCTCCCTTACTTCCTTCTGAGCTTTGCTCCTGTCTCAGGGCACCTACTTGCATCCTGTACTAAAATGGACTATTGTGTAGTGTACTGTATACTCCTGTAGTTATGTGTGTGCAAATGCAGCAAAATATCACCAGTCGATGAAATCAGGGGAAGCATGCACTCTTTCTGAGCGTGAAATGGTTCCAAATAAAAAGGTGGCACAAGAACTTGAACCCAGTCCCATGAGAAAAGTCTCTCTTGGAACCTCCTAGTGAAGCTGCACTGCTCCCTGCCACCTCTGTCCCTGTTTGCTCAGCATTTGTCACAACCATCTTCCGTCTCTCCACTGGGACCTCCCCTGCGGCAGGTCAGTCCTGTTTGCTCACTGCTGTAACTTCATTGCCTCAATAGCCCCTGACACGTCCAGGCTGGCAGTCCTTTCTGAAGGGAACTAGCACAGATGGGCAGCTGTTTGGCCCTCCCCCTAGCTTTTTAATACCACCACTCACTTCTGACCACATTTTCAGAACCAGTCCTGTCACCATTAGTGAGAGTGTGGAAAGATGTTGTTAGAGCATCAGAGTATTATTTTAAATCTGAAGTGATGTTATTTTATTGTAATTATACTTTCATTTATTTTGGTATAAAACTTATCTTTGTAGTAAATTATAACAGGGCCTTAGTCACCAAAGCCCTAACAGAAGTTCTTACTAATAAGGGGTGGGGATGGGGGGGCAGGGGCATTTCTTTTAAACTCTAACGTGGCAATAACGTGAAGGTAACATAATCCACTCCTTTGCAAACGTGGATTTGACAAGTGTTCAAGAGCATCACATCAAGTTTTGCAGAGAGGATATGACACTCTTCTGGCATTTGCATAAGGAGCAACCACACTGTACCTGAAGGATGTCACCTGAGAACAGTAGCCCCATAGGTAGAAATAAGGACAGTGGGGGAAACTGGGAAGAGCCAGAGTTTAATTCAATATAAAGGAAGGCTGGACAGTAGGCCATGCCCAGCAGTAGCCAGGACTAACTCAGGAGTGAGGGTGATGAAGCAGAGGCCAGATCCTCGGGGGATGTTGCACAGGGAACACCTGTGTCACAGGCTGGACTGGGGAAGCCAGAAAGCCCTCCACGACGACTACTGTGAAACTGTTAGGGCAGCCTATAAACTACACTCCAGGAAGCTGTTCATGAAATCAACTGACTGCAAAACAGGTAAGGATTTGAGAGAATACCTGTTACACGTGAATTGATACTTTTACAAAACTAGGTATTTTCACACCATGTGTGTAGGCTAAGGCATGGAAATGACATTCGATGTGCAACAGGCGGTCCCACAGAAGCACCATGGGGGCCATGCCCTGGAGCCCACTCACATGCGAGGGCCTCGCTCAGAAGAAAACTCGCAGTGGAACACCACGATGACACGCTTGCCATCCGTAGGTACGATGGGCTTCTTGAGTAAGAAGTCTTCAACCTCCTCTTCCATGTGCAAGTTCACTGCACCCTGTGAAGGCACCAAGAGACTCATGTTTCACACTCGCAGTAATGATTCTTCGAGACTGGTCTTCAAATGGGCACCTCAAATTCTGTTATGACTGTGCACTGTATGAGTGGTATTTGTGAATGCCCGGGACTTTCACGGCCATGACAGTGGCAAACACTAACACTGTATTTAAAGTACCTCCTTACCGTATTTCAACACTATATTATTGGTTAAAAGATTAAAAGGGCACAACCAATTACTTTCTTCCTGGGAAAGTATGTTCCAACACCCAACTAACCAGGCAACTATAAATGTAAGAGGTATCATTAGGCTTGGCACAGACTGGGACATGTTGCCAGAGACTGGCTTCTCCTCATGGCTTCATGTCCAGGCATGGCTTAGAAGTCAGTGGGTACCATTTAGAAATGTCCCTGATGGTGATGGTGATGGTGATGGTGATGGTGATGGTGTGAGGGACAGAACAGGAAGCAGTTGCCGTACAGTGTGGTAGAGATTAGTGCAGACCAGGGAACATTCTTTCAGTGCACCAGGAGTCAAATGCCTTTCACGCCCACTGCTTCTTTTTACAATTCTTATAACCAGCATGTGAGCATTATAATGAGCAGCCAGGTGTCACCTCCGCCTTTAAAAAAAAAAATCACAGATGCTGTCCAGGGCTCCTGCTATGCCTCCCACAACAGCAGGGCTCGCCCACAAGCCTCAGGAATCCATACCTTGATGTGGCCTCCCTCATATTCATATGGGTATCGGCAGTCAATGATAACAAACTCTTTAATGAGGTTGGCAAACTTGCCACTCAAAACAGACGCTATCTGTGGAGAGAGAGCCAAGGAGAATCAACTCTGGCTGCCAGGAACACGTAGATTCCATGTGTGGCAGGTTCCAAAAGGATGACTTACAATTTCTGGAGAGATGTATTTTAAATCCTGATGCTTTCCAGCAACTGTATGAAAGAGGTAACACTTAAAAAAAAAGAGAGAGAAAGAGAGAGAGAGAGAGAGAAATACTTAGCAAATCCAAAAGCTTAAAAATGCAACATTTTTATATTGCTTGCCTTCCTGGTAAGAGTCAGCTTGAAAAAAAAAAAAAACAAACATTAATCTAATAGAATATGTTGGTTACTTGTCTAGCCACTTCATTAATATCCTGACATTGAATTTTCACACAGATTTATAAGGCACATTATCCCCATTCCCATATGTCAAAGCTAGGTACCTTGTCCAAGGTTAGCCAGCAAGTAAGCCAGACTTGAATACAGAAACCTCAGGTGATTTCCTTTTTCTCCCGCTTTTGTTAGGAACCCTCACCTCAGCAGCCAGACTGTGTGCAGCACATAAAGGACACAGAGAGGAATGACTTCCCTGTTTACTGAGCACCTGCTATGTCCAGCATGGTGTTAGACATTGGAGGTGGAATGAGTGAGGCTGGGCCCAGCCTTGAGGGAGAAGGACGGGCACATCAGTAATTACTCACTAGGGCGGACTGGCCGAGTCAAGTGCTCACCCAATCCCGTGGCCATGTGTGGGGTCATTATGACAAACACAACCAACCACAGCTTCAATTCAGGTGCAAGCTTCTACCAGCAAGGATACACCACACCCAGGTCTTGGCTTGCTCTTCCCTTCAGACTAGAACTGTCTTCTATTTTTTAAAAATTTTATTTATTTTTTAACATCTTTATTGGAGTGTAATTGCCTTACAATGGTGTGTTAATTTCTGCTGTATAACAAAGTGAATCAGCTATACGTATACATATATCCCCATATCCCCTCCCTCTTGCGTCTCCCTCCCACCCTCCCTATCCCACCCCTCTAGGTGGTCACAAAGCACCAAGCTGATCTCCCTGTGCTATGCAGCTGCTTCCCACCAGCTATCTATTTTACATTTGGTAGTATATATAAGTCTATGCCACTGTCTCACTTCGTCCCAGTTTACCCTTCCCCCTCCCTGTTGTCTTCTATTTTTAATCCACTTATTTCTCCCACCTGGTTGAAATATCTAGCCCAGATCCAAACCTTCCCCAATCGCCTAGCTGAGACTGAGACAACCCTTTTATTTCTTATTTATTTATTTATTTAGTTAGTTAGTTATTTTTGTGGTACGCAGGCCTCTCCCTGTTGTGGCCTCTCCCATTGCGGAGCACAGACTCCGGACGTGCAGGCTCAGCGGCCATGGCTCACGGGCCCAGCTGCTCCGCGGCATGTGGGATCTTCCCGGACCGGGGCACGAACCCGTGTCCCCTGCATCGGCAGGCGGACTCTCAACCACTGCGCCACCAGGGAAGCCCAACCCTTTTATTTCTTAGTCTGCTGCTTTCACTGTACTGATGTTTACTTCAATCTACCATGTGATAAATGTGGTACATGTCTATGTGGCATGATGTCTTACTGACCGTATGTTAAGTGTTTTGAGGGAAGGAACTGTGTCTCATTTTGGAATCTTTGCCTTACACATGATAAGTGTTTCCATAAATGTTAGCTACATTAATACATAAAAGACTGGTCTGGGGACCTTCAAGTCATATGTGGCTAAACAAGCTACTACTGACACAGGAATGTGTCACATTTCACCACAGCTCAAAGGCAGCCAACCTGTATGAGGCCATCAGCAGACCATCCTCTGGACCTCCCTGAGGGCCTTTTCCCTCTAGGGCCATGCTCCTCTGGACAATGGAGAAATTTAGTCTCAATCCTGGACATTCTAAGAGGACCTTTTGATATACAGACTTATATACAGTGAGGCTAGAGGTTTATTTCTGCTTCTTTACACTTTTCTGCAGTACTGCTTTTATAATCACAAACACAGTTCCCAGAGAGCCTGGTCTTTGGGTTGGTGTCAAGGCAGCTGGTGGGTGGCTCCCTACTTGAAACCTCTGACCAGCATCAGTAAGGTCTATAGTCCCACAGAGACTGAGATACACCTGATCATGAATGTGTTTCCTTATCTTAAAACAAACTTCAAACTGCGTCCCCTTGGCGGGGTGGGGTGGGGTGGGGGGAACCCCAGGAACCACTTCAGGGAGGGAGGAAGGCTGAGGGGGGCATTTTAGGTACCCCCTGCCAATCCTGCATCACAGAGCAGTTCTGCGTGCAATTACCTTGGAGAAGTCTCCTATAAGGTCCCTTGGGTCATTATCCAAAATATTCTCAATGGTCCCTTTTGGGGAAGACACCAGGCATAAAGACTGATGTAGAATCTGTAACAAATCAAAGGTGGAGAATGAGGCCAGGCTTCTGAACAGAACTTATGAAAACATTCACCTGGAATATGTCAGGAAGAAGAGACTGAAATGTTAACATCCATATTTAGCAAAAAGATACCTTTCTTATTTGACTGAATCTAGAGTGAAAAAAAGAATATGGGTTACTGACTAGGTATACTGTTATTTGAACTGAATTCAATTCTAACTGAACTGCTCTGAAACTTCCTTTTTTTTTTTTTTTAAAAAAAAAAGGATTAAAATTAGGGCTAAGTCTAAAAAAAGTATTTCTTAGTTCTACCCACTGAGAAGCTCCAGGGTTGCAGTAAGTAGCCCTTAGGTCAGTGTGCTCTCTAAATAATACAGCTGACCCCTGAACAACACGGGGTTTAGGGCCACCATCTCACATCCCCGAATTCAACCAACCACAGATCATGCAGTACCACAGTATGTATTTATTGAAAAAAATCTGCGTATAAGGGGACCTTACAGTTCAAACCCATGTTGTTCAAGGGTCAACTGTATTTTCCACTAAAAGAAACCAGAGCTTTTTGATTGACTCCAGGCTGGGACAAGAAATGTACAAGATAAACCTGGAACACTTTGTCATTAGTAGCAAGGAAGCACTCATATTTCAAAGGACACATCAAAAGGGCTAATCGTGGGGAAGTAAGGATTTCTTTTATACACTTAGTGTATTTTATATTATTTATTTGGCTGCACCAGGTCTTAGTTGTGGCATGCAAACTCTTGGCTGCGGCATGTGGGATCTAGCTGCCTGACCAAGGATCGAACCTGGGCCCCCCGCATTGGGAACGTGGAGTCCTAGCCACTGGACCACCAGGGAAGTCGCAGGATTTCTTAAGCAGTACACAAAAAACACGAAACATAAAAAGACTGATAAATTAAAACATGTTTAAAAAAAAAAAATCAAGAAATTCTGTTCATCAAAACAACAAGATTAGGTAAGAACAGGCAAGCCAGAGTGGGCAGATATGCATCCATCTCAATAAAAGATTCATCTCTGAATATATAAAGCATTCCCACAAATAAGAGACAACCCAATAGAAATATGGGCTAGAAACTTGGCTGAGTAATAGAGAAGAAAATCTAAGACCAAGAAAAATAACTATCAGGGAAACGCAAGTCAAAATCAGATACTACACACTCACCAGAATGGCTAAAGTTAAAGAGATGAACAACACCGGATACTACTGGTAAGGATGTGGAAGAACTGGAACTCTCACACACTGTTCTGAGTACAGCCAACTCTCGGTATCTGTGAGATTGGTTTCAGGACACCCAAGGATGCTCATATAAAATGACATGTAGTACAGCTAGTGCTCAGTAAGAATGCATTGCAGGGGCTTCCCTGGTGGCGCAGTGGTTGAGAGTCCGCCTGCCGATGCAGGGGACACGGGTTCGTGCCCCGGTCCGGGAAGATCCCACATGCCGCAGAGCGGCTAGGACCGTGAGCCACAGCCGCTGGGCCTGCGCGTCCGGGGCCTGTGCTCCGCAACGGGAGAGGCCGCAACGGTGAGAGGCCTGCATACCACAAAAAAAAAAAAAAAAAAAAAAGAATGCATTGCAAAGTTGGTTAAATCCATGGATGTGGAGCCCCCAGATACGGAGGGCTGACTGGACAACCACTTTGGAAAGCTATATGGCAGTGTCTGCTAAAGCTAAACACATGCCTAGCCTAGGACCCAGCAAGTCCACAAGAAAAGTTAAAGTGCATGTTTACAAAATAAATTGTATAAATACCATCAACTAGTATTTGACAAGGGAGCCAAGAATGCTCAATGAAGAGAAGATCAGTCTTCTCAATAATAAATCATGCTGGAAAAACGGAATATAAACATGTGAAAGAATGAAATTAGACCCCTATCTTACACTACTCACAAAAAATAACTTGAAATGGCTTAAAGACTTAAATGTGAGACAGGAAACCATAAAACTCCTAGAAGAAAACACAGGAAAAAAGCTCCTTGACATGAGTCTTGGCAATGACTTTTTTAGATTTGACCCCTAAGGCACAAGCAACAAAATAAAAAATAATTGAGACTACATCAAACTAAAAAGCTTCTGCCCATTAAAAGAAATCAACAAAATGCAAAGACAACCTATAGAATTGGAAAAAATATTTGCAAAATATATTATCTGATAAGGGGTTAATATCCAAAATATATAAGGAATCCATACAACTTAATAGCGAAAAAGCAATCTTTTTTTTAACATCTTTATTGGAGTGTAATTGCTTTATAATGTTGTGTTAGTTTCTGCTGTACAACGAAGTGAATCAGCTATAGGTATACATATATCCCCATATCCCCTCCCTCTTGCATCTCCCTCCTACCCTCCCTATCCCACCCCTCCAGGTGATCACAAAGCCCCGAGCTGATCTCCCTGGGCTATACAGCTGCTTCCCACTAGCTATCTATTTTACATTTGGTAGTGTATATATGTCAATGCTTCTCTCTCACTACATCCCAGCTTATCCTTCCCCTCCCCGTGTCCTCAAGTCCATTCTCTACGTCTGCATCTTTAAAATAATCTGGTTTTAAAAAGTAGGCAAAGGACCTGAATAGACATTTCCCTAAAGATACACAAATGGTCAACAGGTACATGAAAAGATGATCAATATCACTAATCGTTTAGGGAAATGAAAATCAAACTGTTGTACAATGAGATATCACTTCATGACTATCAGAATGGCTATCATCGAAAAGAAAAGATGGGGACTTCCCTGGTGGTGCAGTGGTTAAGAATCCGCCTACCAGTGCAGGGTACATGGGTTCGAACCCTGGTCCGGGAAGAACACACATGCCGCAGAGCAACTAAGCCCATGTGCCACAACTACTAAGCCTGCGCTCTAGAGCCTGAGAGCCACAACTACTGAAGCCTGTGGGCCTAGAGCCTGTGCTCTGCAACAAGAGAAGTTACCGCAATGAGAAGCCCGAGCACCACAATGAAGAGTAGCCCCCACTCGACGCAACTAGAGAAAGCCTGCGCGCATCAACAAAGACCCAACGGAGCCATAAGTAAATAAATAAAAATGAAAAAAAAAAGAGGGAACTCCCTGGCGGTCCAGTGGTTAGGACTCCACACTTTCACTTTGGGGGTCCGGGTTCAATCCCTTGTCGGGAACTAAGATCCCGCAGTCCCCATGGTGATGCCAAAAACAAACAACAACAACAACAACAAAAACAAGAAACAAGTGTTGGCAAGGATGTGAAGAAAAGGGAACCTTTGTACAATATTGGTGGGAATGTAAAGTGGGATGGCCACTATGGGAAACAGTATGGACGTTCCTCAAAAAAATTGAAAATAGGGACTTCCCTGGAGGTCTAGTGGTTAAGAATCTGCGCTTCCAATGCAGGGGGCATGGGTTTGATCCCTGGTCAAGGAACTAACAGCCCACCTGCCGTGCAGTGCAGCAAGCAGACAAAAAAAAAAAAAAAAAAATCAAAAACAGAACTAACTAGGAGCCAACAATTCCACATCTGGGAATATATTAGAAGGAAACGAAAACACTATGTCAAAGAGATATCTGCACCCCCATGTTTAGAGCAGCATTCTTTATAATATTCAAGAAATGGAAATAACCTAAGCGTTCATTGACGGATGAATGGATAACAAAGTTGTGATACACACACACACACACACACACACACACACACACACACACACACACA